CGAATCTTTAATTATCTTCTCTCAGAATAATATAATCCCTTTTACATTACACGTGTATGTATTCACTTTCTCTTCATTTCCACTAAACCAATATTCAATCATTTTCTCTTACAGTTTCCACAACCTCCTAAACATTCAGGCTTGGCTACAAGACAATGCACAATAAAACATTCATATGTATTCACCAGTGTGACCTAACAGTTGCTACAAATTTTGACCCGAAACAACATTAAACTCCACCTTTTCTATTATAACTAAACCTACTTCAGCACCCTTCTTACTATTAAACATTCGTTGAACATATACATTTCTGTTAAACCCATTAAAGCTAGGATAGCTCGCAACCTTACCAGTTGAGCTATTAGCATGTGAGGCTAGGCTTTGAGCACAAAACGTTAATGGCTATATACGTCTATTTAACTCTATAACTGACATTTAGCATAAGCAATCAACCGTCACCACATTTATAAATTCAAGGCGCACCTCACATAGGTGGATTTGCATGCTTGGGTGCACTTTACTAACCTGAAATGCAACTAAAGAGACGGAGACATCAGAATGGAGTGGTCTCTGTGAACTGCTGCTCCCGAATAACGGTAGACGGTCACGGGACACAGAGCTCCACTAGCTGTCTCGTTAACCAAGTCTCATAGGAATTAATATAAAAAGCTGAATATTGAGCCAATTACAGACTCCTGTTTTTGATCTTTTTGAACTATCTGTACTTAAAACTAGAAACAAGTTAAGTTTGATTGACCGTCAGAAAGTGGGAAAGTGCCCCGCTCCCTCCCAGCACCCTGATTGGTTGAGAGAGGTCAATCATCTTCTGGCTAAATGGACTTACACACCAACACATGTGAGACATCAAATCGATCGGCTTGGCCTAAGGAATCCATCTATCCACATATAAATCCATACATGCTTCTATCCATCCACCCATCCATCCATCCATCCATCCATCCAATAAACCATCTAACATGGACTCAGTGGTCTCTTTTAAAAAGCAGCTGAAGACTCACTTGTTCAAGCTGGCTTTTGTATGACCTTCTTCACCACTCTCTCTTTATTCAGCTCTCCCTACCTATTCCACCTTCCTCAGGATCCACTGATTTCCCTCTTTTGTGTTCTCTTTCTCTCTTTCTTAACAATTTTTAATCACAATTGCCTATTTTTGCTCATTTTAAATATATTTTTTAAACATTTTCTAAATGCTTTTTTATATTTTTACATTCTTTGTTTTTGTGAAGCGCCTCGTGATTTTTATCTTGAGAGGTGCTATAGAAATGATACTTTCTTCTTCTTTTTCTTCTAACATCCATCCAACAATCTATCCGTTATTTCCTTCATCTGTAATGAATTAGATTACGTGTTATTTAATGAGCCATAAGGTGTGGGATTCCATAGGAATTATGAAATCCACCTTACGGATCTGTGAGTTATTTAAACCAAAAGATTGGATCTTTTCATTGCAGGGATTAGATAACCGGTTCGTATTCACTCAGAGACAACCGAAGAGAGAGAGAGTCTAGTTTAAAAGTTAAGAATTTTATTACTAACAAATCAAACTAGACTGACTTTAAAACTAAATGTATTGTGTAACTAAAGTGGATGAGATGGTGAATGGATGACGTGTGATGTAATCAGAACCAGCAAATACGAAGAAGCGATTAGTTCTGATGGGAACTGAAGGTGTTGTTTTCGCATTAAGCTTTGGTTAGGAAGTCCATAAACACATGAGACACCATTTGCCGGTCTACATACCCTGAGCGGAAGTCCCCGTCTAGATCAGGAGGTGTAAAGGTCGAGCTTGACCTTATGGAGCTGGAGCATGTAGAAGAAGCCACGGCAACCAACCACCCGTCCTGGGATACGTCCGGGTCACGGCAATTTGTTGGCGTCTGGTGAGACCCAAGCCTGGGTCTTGATGGTTCAGCTTTTATTCTGAAAGGAACTGTTGCCGCAGTTAGTATAGCGACGAATTTTTCAGCTTGTCGTTGGTTCTTTCAGTTAAAGAGCAGAGATCAGGATTGGCCACTCAGTCACTTTCTCTGGAATGCTTTGAACTGGCGTTAGAGCTGACGTGGCATAGTTTTATACTTTGGATGTTATGGTTTATTGTCGAATGAAAAATTACCAAACACCATCAAAAGCACGCCTCCATTAGCCTGGCAAGCCAGACTAAATAAATGTATTATTTAGTCTGGCCACACTCCATTGACGGCTCTTGGTTGTGGGGCGGGTTCTACCGTTGTCTTTCAAATGATCTCCGCATGCTACTGGACAATGAATGTGACATACTCTTGTTTCACTCTGTTGCATCATCCCACCCACCAGGCATATAGAGTGCCCTGATTGGCCCACAAAGCAGATAAAGCTCTGTGATTTGTTCACTAAGCAGATAGAGCACTATGATTGGCCCACCATTATGGACCAATCACAGCTCTTTATGTGTTTGAAACCCCTCTAGAGAGCTGTGATTGGCTAGCCAGAGTCCTGGTAGGAGCTGCTGAGGTTCCAATGGAGCATGCCTAGACCAAACTTTGCAAAGCAAGAATTTGGTCTAGTTCACTAGGCTACGCCTCCATCAGATCTGTAAGATTCTGATTGGATCAGTGAAAGTAATGTGTTATGTCTTTTTAACGCTACGTGAAATGAGTCCTGTTGGAACAGTCACAGTACCTTTATATTCTATAGGATTATAATAAGGTAATTAATATTTTGATTTCACAGATCGGTCACATCTTATTTATTGACTAACACTTTGATGGATTAGCTTTATTAAAATAGAGTTCTTTGATTAATTAAAAGAAAAAAGTTCATTCTTCATTTTTCTGTTGAGCTGAAAATAAGCAGGTTAGAAGGAATGCATGAGACCTTGAGACCCTATCTCATGCAGACTAGTCTTGAGCAAAGAAGGGAAAAAAAAACAGTCATTCCGTTCCGTTACACATCCAACCATTCATCCATCCCATATCAAGTCTGAACACGTTAATCAGTTTCAGATATCAGCAAATATTTCTAAATTCACAGTTCAGCCAACTGTAAAAATTTACCCATTAAACTATTCTCATTCAAATGCCAGCTGTTTAACATTTCAAATTTTGAGTTTTTAATCAATGTTCAAAGATTAAAGTATTCTGTTTAGCATTTTTTGTCCATTCTTCACCTATATTCTCAGCTTTATTACACTTGTTGGGGATTTTTGCTTCTAAATCTTTAAATACATTCAGCTAATTTTGACAGTTTAGCTTAGTGTGAGCATATGCTGCTCATTTCACAGTTCAACTAAACATAAAAATTAAACTGTTAAACTAGTACTCAAACAACAAGTGTTTAGACATTTTTGCTGTCCAGATTTTTAAATAATGTTCAGATTTCAGTTTTCGGCTGTTTAGGATTGTTTTCTCCGTTCATCACTTTTTGTGCTTTATTTACATTTTAGTGCTTTTTGCATCTAAATCTTTCAAAACATTCAGCTCATTTTAACAGTTTTGCTTAGTTTCAGCTTCAGCAATTAGTCTCTGAATTCAGCATATGATGCTAATTTCACAGTTCAGCTAAATGTAAAAATTAAACTGTTAAACTAGTCCTACTGAAATAACAGGTGTTTAGACATTTTAGCGGTCCAGTTTTTTAAACAGTGTTGACATATTTCAGTTTTCTGCTGTTTAGGATTAGTTTTCTTGATTCTTCACTTACTTTTGGTGCTTTATTTGCTTGTTGGTGCTTTTTGCTTTCACATATTTCACTACATGCAGCTCATTTGACAGTTTAGCTTAGTTTCAGCTTCAGTTAAGCTGTTCAACAACTTCAGCAATCAGTTATTAGATTTAGCATAAGCTGCTAATTTCACAGTTCAGTTAAATGTAAAGATTAAACTGATAAATGTGTCCAACTGAAATAACAGGTGTTTAGACATTTTAGCTGTCCAGTTTTTATACAATGTTCACATATTTCAGTATTTTGCTAATTAGGATGACTTTTCTCCATTCTTCACTTACTTTTTAAGCTTTATTTGCTTGTTGGTGCTTTTTGCTTCTACACCTTTCAATACATTCAGCTCATTTTGACAGTTTTGCTTTGTTTCAGCTTCAGCTTACATTTTCAGCTATCTGTCATTCAAACAGCATTTGTGCAATAAATGCAAATTTTTCTAGTTTTATTATTTTTACTAAATTACAACACTAAATATTTTAACAAAATCATGTGCCCACACTTTGTGGGTGTCACATTTACACCCGTAGAAACTCCAGTGAAGGTAGTAAAAGCCAGTTTGTGGCCTTTTATCACTTTTATTGAGTTGATTTGACAGTAAAATGTTTTTAGCTTGCATGCATGGTTGCCTGCACTAAGAGACAAGGACGTAAACTCAACTCGTTTTTTCTTTTTAATAACTTTGATGGAGACTGAGGACAGACTGGATGAACTGCAGCGATCAATCAATCAAGCGGACTAGCAGACCTCAGATTTGCAGCAAGCATGCTTTTACCGGGTAAGATTAACGTTCATTTATTTTACGAGGATGGCAGGGACAGGGATAAATGTGATGTGTTTATAGTATACGTAAAACGATGGGTATTTCACCACGGAGGCTGCGCTCCGTCCATTGTAAAGCGAGACAATTGTTAACAATATTAAAGCTCCGATGTATGATTACGTGCGTTAAAATTACGTTATTTATTTATATGAGCGTCGGCGTTCAGAGATCTTCTCATTCCGGTGTGAGAGCAGCGGCTGAAGCACACAACCCGGTAACACCACCAGTAACAGAAACTGGTAGGGATCCGGACTTTTTAAAAATCAGCTTTGGTGTAAAGTGAAACGCTGTTTATAACATAATGTTATAAATCCAGAGGGGTGAATTTAGGCAAAGTCAGCAACATGTTTACATCGGTGAACAGCTGCGGAGAGAACGCAAGCTAACGTTGGTAAGCTAGTTAACATACTGCTCTCTCTATGAGCCCCGGCTAGATGCGCTACTTCTTCTGATAACTGAACTGGGCATGAACTAGTTGAAGGAATGCTGGAGGAGTTTTGTTTTTGTTTTGATCGCAAAAACAATTTCAGGCTCTACATTTCCCTTTGTTTAGTAATCGTGTCGCTCACTGTTTACATACTTTTGCAGTCCACCATGGTGGACCCACGTGATTAGGTGACGTCGGTGCAAAGGGTTCGGGCGCTTCTCCCGGCATGCAACAGTTCAATCGGTTCAAAACGAACGGCGCCATCTTGGCAGGCAGTAGACTGCAGCTAGGCTATTTGTTTTTGCCAGAAAAGAATCAAACGGGAAATATGGTAGATTCCTGTTGTGCCCCAGGATGCCAGAACAGACGCGGACGAGATAAGGGAAGAGCCTTCTACAGGATTCCCCAAGATCCGGAACGCCGCCAACGTTGGATCATCGCCATGAAACGTGTTAGCCCCCAGGCTAAAACGAAGCTGTGGGATCCAGCTAGTAAATGTTTCCGCTTATGCAGCGACCACTTCATATCAGGTACTTAAACCAACGTTTCCTCAACTGTATATGGTATTTGTTTTAAATGCTTTTATTTCGATTC